GCTTCACAGGACAAACTGTGTCCATGGCTTAGTCTTACCTTAGCCAAGATAGAGGTGGATATTTTAGCAGCTGGAGCCTCAGGTAACCATCAGCCCAAACCTAATAAATCTATTCTTTATGGGATGGTGTCTAAAGCTTCCCCCCCACATACATCACTGACAAAAAACAAGAATCTCCCCAGGCCTAGTCCTATTCTCCAGCCACTGTGTCACACATTAGACATTATGGTCTCACTACAACATAAATGGAAATCTTTGATCTTGTTTTTGTTTCTTTGACAATATTTCGCTTCTCATCCATGCAGCTTCTTCTTCTTCTTCAGGAACTGAAGAAGCTTCATGGATGAGAAATGAAACATTTTCAAAGAAAAAAAAAAACCAAGAAAATCCAGCTGCCCTGTTGAAAAAGAACCTTTGGGACAACTGTGACTGGATGATCGAGTGTCTCCATAGACAAAACGTGAGGTCCAAATCTTGTAGGAAAAACAAGGACATCCAATACTGCTATAGGAATAAATTTAACTTGGCAGTAAGAAATTAACCATTCCAAGTTAAACCAAGTTTGCCAGAAAGAGATTCATTAATCACTGACAGAAACATGCTTTCCTTTTCCTAACTGATTCCTGTAATATACTGTACACCAAAGGAACCAATTTCCAAAATGCTGAACTAATAAGTATCTCTGCTGCTACTTTGCACTTTTATTGAAATAGCAATGTTTTTCTTCCTAGAAAAATGACGGTAGAGATTTTTGGCTTTGAGGAACAGTCTGTGGCTTTTTCCTGATTTGTTTCCCAATAAACTAGGTGGGAAAGCTAGGAAGTTTTGCTTTTGCTTTAAAATATTAAGGGACCCTGATGCTTCCATGCTCTTTTTCCACCTCTCATTTTGGTACCAATTCTATCTTTCCCTCCCTTTTCATGTGTGCAGAAAGCAAACAATGAGTAAGCTCACTGTATTGAGTGACAATGTACTGGCTTGGTTCTGGCTTAGCAAGTTAGGTAAACCCCAGAATTGTGGTTTGTAAGCCACAATGTATGACTAAGGTCAGGTTTATGGCATGGCATGGGAGCCAAACTCCCAAGCTGGAACATCCAGAAGCAAATCAAACTTCAGCTCGTTTTTTGCAAGATGTAAAATTTGAAATGGGAACATAAAGCTTTTACATTGCTTGAAAGTTACCCTTCAACGCCCCTTCCAACCAACAAGGAGCGGAAAGGTTTGATTACAGCTTCTCATCATCGGTGTCAGAAGTCACCAAGGTAGCAGTCAAAGTCAATAATTTTTAATTCAGACTCTGGATGAAAAAAGGCAGCTTCCTTTTGGTTTGGTACCTCACATTAACAAAGCTGATAAAAAAAAAAATAATAATTCCCTGGAGGTACAGATGGGTATTCTCCCATCTAAGTCTGAATGCTTTCAGGCATTTGGAATGCATTACAGAGTTCTTTTTATTCTACTTGCCCTATCTTGTTTGTATCTTGATTAGCTCACATTTATATCCATTTTTTTTTTAAGGAAACCAGTCTTCCTGCACATTTCTTCTCTTGCCACTTTTCCAGGTATAGGAAGCACATCAGAAATGCAAACAAAGGAGAAAGGATAAGCCTTTCACCATTTGTAAAGCAACCAACCATGCATGCCAGCTGGGTGAATTTCTTTTCCCCAGGTCTTGTCCCTAAATCATAGACTGATGACTTCCTAAAACCGCTAAGGCATGGCAACCTTAGTTCTCTGGCAGATGGCCAGGAGACTGACATATGTAAAAAAAGGGGCCGAGGCTTTGGTCAGGAGGCTGCAGCTCCCCATCTTGACTTTTTAGAACCTTCTTTGGATTCCTTGTTCCTGTTTTTTTTTCCTCCCCCCCCCCCACCCCCCAGAGCAAGTTACCTAGCTCAGTGAGTAGTTTGCAGTAGTTGGGCTTTTTAGATGATTGGATCCGCCTCTCATCGCCTCTTTCGCAATATTTTAGGCTAGTGGTCATGTCTTTAGTTATGTCTTCAGGCAGGCTCTTGCCTGCTGATGAATTTTAAAAAGGCACAAAGTAAAATTTTTGCATGAACATCTGTTTTCCAAGAACCTTGACGAGGATTGCTGAAGTTACACACATTTCAGCATTTGTTAAAAGCTCTTTGAACCTTGTCACCATGAAACCATCTCAATCTACTGTGTAGCTTTTCCAAGTTTTTCAAACGGATTCCGAGCTATGCTTTCTACTTGAAGAAAATTGCTTTCACACTTTGCTAAAGCTAATCAAAAATTCATTTTGCCACCCATCTAGTTTTGATTTATATTGGTATCCTGGGTACATTTTCTCATCAGGAGATAATAGTAGGTTTTTTTCTTTCTTTCTTTCTTCAAATGATACATTCTTTTATGAAGTTTTTTCTTTTCTTTGATAGTCATTGTTTTCCCTTTAGCATATTCTTGGGCTCAAGCACTGTTTATTTGCCTTGCTGGCCTGATACAAAAGAAAAAAGTAGCAAGCTAAAAAGGGCAGGAAAATAATGATCACTGCATTCATTTCCGTCAGTCACATTATTAAAGCGCTATTAAAACTATAGGGCCTGTGTCAGTTGTGGGTTTGAAATCCCAGCGCTACCGGTTTGCTATCAGTAGCGCGTAGGCGCTCGCTTTGCCAGCGCACAGCGCTTCTGCACATGCACAGAAGTTTCTGCGCATGCGAAGAGCGTTTTTGATGACATCTGGGTGTGTGGGCGGAGCCTCCCACCACTGTCGCTACTGGTTCGCCAGAACCAGGGCAAACCGGTAGCAACCCACCACTGGCCTGTGTAGAGAAGTGAGTGACCCCATTACAATGTGTCAGATAAAAATGCTTTTTTCTGTAGTACTTCTCTGTGTCAAATTCTTTAATTTATCATCCCAGAAAACAACCATGATACATGTCAAGAATCTTCTAAGTTGAGTTTCCCTCATAGCTGCAGTAGGTTCCTCCCACACCCCACTCTTGATTTTCTATTGTCTTCTTCCAGAATATTTTTTCCTCCAATTTCTCAGTCTAATCAATAGCCAGGAATTTTCTAGTGATCTCCCATCCAAGTACTAAAATAGGAGTGTCAAACCCATGTCATCATGGCGGCACCACGTGATGTATTGGGACTTTTTCCCCCTTCGTGGGACAGCACGTGACGCATCTGGCCCACGAGCCGGGAGTTTGACAGACCTGTACTAAAAGATCTAGTCTTACTAAGTTTCTTGAGATCAGTCAAGGGTGGCTAGGTGGCAACAAAAATGTATTTATGCATTATTGATTCAAGAACACTTTGGTTTTTTTTGCTGAGGGTCCAAATCAACTGACAATACAAATTCATAGAAGAAGGCCAGTTTTTCAACTGCACTATAACTTTGTTTTCAACTTTGTTCAACTTTGTTCAGGTTCAAGGGCCACATTTGATTTTAGAGAGTTGTGTCCTCTGATACAGTAATTAAGTACTGTAGGTAATAGATGAGGTCAGGAGATGCTCTAATTTCATTTCCTTTTTATTTAATTACAATTAAATATAATTAATGTAGTTACTCCACAAAAAATATTAAATATTTTCCATCTTCTGAGGTGAAGCCCCTAGCCTCTATATTCTGCGAAGAGTAACACTGGTTGGATTCTCATGTGTTAACCATAGTTTGTTGATTAAGCCATTTGGATGGCTTGATTAAGTTATTTGGATTCACATGTCAAACTCATACATCTATTACAGTGCAGTGTGGGTATTTAGCCATTTGGATTGCTCCAGAATAATGTGGTGATGTAGTATTTCATATCGTTAGCCTAATATGTTATACCTCACATATTTCGCCAGCAAAAGTGCTAGGCTGTAGACTTTATCAAATGCAAATTGGCCAAAAGAGCAAAGGAAACCACTTGCAGGTAGACTGCTGTTGACAGAGGTTGGGTCAATCAGATCAAAGGAAGATTGGATAAATGGGATGAATCTCTCATTTGAGCAAACAGAAAGGGGTTGCTCCATCAGATAAATATCATCAGTTATCCCAGACTAAGCCAAAAGATGAGTTTACACCTTTACAACCATTAATGTTAAGTTTGATTGGGGTTGATAAACCATCGCTGATAAGACTTAGTGCAGTATGTTCTTAAACCACGTGTGATTTAATCAAGCTATGCTTAATCAAATCATGACCATTAACGGAATGTATCATCCAAGTTTAAGTTGCCTGGGAAAGTTCAGCCTCCTGCCACCACGGTATTATTTTAAGATAATTAGCCATTTGGGTGGGAGTTAACGCTGGCCTTCCTGGGCTTTCCAGAGAGTTAAAAACATGACCAAACTGCATTTTCTCCTATCAGCCAACAAAAAACATAAGAAATCTTAAAAAAAAAAGCGCTTTATTTTAGCATTATGCAATCTATCTAAATACTGTGCCTTGCTTGGTGTGGTGTTTTTTCCCCCCCTCTCCTTAAGATGATCTTTTTATATTCCAGATGAGCAAACGATCCATTTTTGTTACACAAGGTAAATTTAAGGAAAATGCTTTTCGGTGCAAGAGCCCGCTGTGTTTACACCATCCGTTAAAGCGAGTCATTTAATTCATAAAAAGGCCCAAATGCACTTGGATAATAAATGGGACAGAAAACTCCTCCCATCTCTCCGGGGAAAGCGCACACACAACCACACACACACACACAGCAGAAAGAAGTCGGCCCGAACGGAAACGCGCAGAGGTCAATGAAACGCCGTAGTAGCAGCAGCAGTAGTAGCAACAGTAGCCGCTAGAAACCGCTCACAAAGCTCGTATTTCACAGCCTGCTCAGCGGAAGGATATTTCACCTTGTTTACCCTGAAACCGGCTCATTCAGTGAGTGGAAAGAAGAAAGACGAGGAGGAGGAAGAGGAGGAGAGGGAGGAGACTTCGAGGGGGTTGGCGGGCTGCTCGCCTGATTGACGTTTCCTTGGCTCAATGGGAAAGCCGCTCGGGTCGGGGCGGGCGTTTCTGCTGGCAGCCAGAGCGCTGCGCCGCGGTGAGGAGCGGGCAGTCAGCCTGTGAGCGGTGTCCGTGTAACGTCGGAACCGCTGCTGCTCTTGCAGCCGCCGCCGCTTCTGACCCGGACTTAGGGAGGCACGGCGAGCCGAAGAAAGACTCTTAGCCACGTAAGTAGCTATTCCTACATGGTGAAGAGACGATGGCTTGCTGAAAGGGATTGGCTCGGCCATCCCTTTCCTCCCCACTCCTACCTCTAGGAATAAAGAACGGCGCCTGCAATAGACATTTGTTCGCATTGAAGTGGCTGCATCGCCTCCCTCCCTCCCTCCTTTTCTGCATCTCAGGACTCTGGGGAGGGGGCTAAGAAGATCGTAGGGAGGGTGATTTTTTTTTTCTCCTGCAGCCCTTCCTCTCTCTCTCTTTTTTTTTTTTCCTCGTCCTTTGTGGTCTTTTTTTTTTCCTTTCTTTTTTTGCTTGCATGTGCAACTGCACTCAAACCATCCGAGGGAACCAGACCGGACGTCTCCAGGCCAATGGAAAGCTAAAGAGCATCGATTTATTCTTGTCCTTGATTGCACTTTTCCGTCTGATCAAAGGAAGCCCCAACGCCGCACGCAACCAATTTCAGCGCTGCAGCTCCTGGAGCTTTGCGCACTTCGTATCCTGGTAAAAGGAAGCGGCGCTTTTAGTTTGGAAAACGCTTTTTTTTCTTCCGCCGAAAAAAAAGGAGGCTTCTTCAATTCGAAGAAAATCCGGATCTTGATCAAGCAGCGGGCTTTCCCGCACCGTTTAGCGGAGCTTCCTCGGCCATCCGCTGAAGTTAAAAAGACTCCGCTGCTATATATTTTTTTTAATTATTATTATTATTTATTTATTTGTCTTCGGCTGCTTCTCTGAATATAGTCCTTTCCACGAGGGAAAAAAAAAGGATCAGACGCCCTCTACAGTTGAAAGCAAGTTATTAAAAAAAAAAACCCATTGAAAAAGCAAGAAAGAGAGAAAGAAAGAAAAAAAGCCCGTCGTTCGGATAACCCGTGTGAAGATTTCGACGCGGGCGATTGGGAATCGGGAGATTGATAAAGGAACCCTTGGCCCTTTGAAACGCCTTTCCCAGATGTTTGGATTTTAAACCCCGCGGCGTTTTGTTGTGGGGAAACGCCACTTTTGCTCAGTTTGCTACTTTGCGGGACTTCGCCGCTTTTTGAGTTGCCGAGAAATCGAAATCGAACGCGGCGGGGGAAGAATCGTTCGCTTGATCGCCGCCTCCGATCCCCTCTTCTCCCAGCCACGAGCCATTCCTATTCTCCTGTTTCTTTGCGCTGGATAAACCGGACTGTAGATCCTACAGAAAAACCTGCCAGCCGAAGCACTCTTTACTTTTACACCGCAGCACAAAGGCATTCTTGGCCGGCCGGCCTGACAACACCAAAGAATTGTGCGTGTGTGAGTGAGTGAGTGAGTGAGAGAAAAAGAAAGAAAAGAAATTGGGGGGGGATTTCTTGGGAGGGTTTGTTCTCCATCCCCATGAACATACAAAGGTCAACCCCAATCACGATAGCGCGGTATGGACGACCTCGGAATAAAACTCAAGATTTCGAAGAGCTCTCGTCTATAAGGCAGACTGAATCCAGCCAGAGTTTTAGCCCTAACCTTGGCTCGCCGAGCCCGCCAGAGACTCCGAACTTGTCGCATTGCGTTTCTTGCATCGGGAAATACTTATTGCTGGAGCCTCTGGAAGGAGACCACATTTTCCGGGCCGTGCATCTGCACAGCGAGGAGGAGCTGGTTTGCAAGGTAACTTTTCCTCCCTCCCTCCCTCCCTCTTGCCTTCCTCCCACCGAAAGCTCGCAGGCGCAGCGTGGCCTTTCCCTGTGTCTAGCAAGTTTATTTTTAGAAGGGTACTCAAAAGGAGTGTGTGTGTGTGTGTGTGTGGTTTGCCCGGGAAGGGAGCCTCCGGTTTAAGGCGCTGGGTGAAATTTAATTAAACAAACAAAGCCTTTGCATAATTAAACGGCTCTCGGCAACTTTGCAGACAATGGGCCACGTTTATAACGGTGGCCTAGAGCCAAAGCCGCGGGGGTGGAAAGACTGGAAAAAGGGGGAGTTGGATTGAAAAGCGGAATCCCTGGATATATAGCGCTTTCCTTTTCCTTCCGATTTTTTTTTTTTTATTAGCTTTGCACGATGCCAATTCTTCCTAGTCTCGGGATACTTCTCCGGGGGGGTGGAGAGGGGATTAATATGGGGGTGGGGGGAGAGAATAAATTATTATTATTTTTAGCCAAGTTAATAATTGCAGGCTGGTAGCTTAGTCTGCTTAAGGCTGCAAGTCTCCTGTCTACTGTAGGTACTTCTTTGGGAACAAGCTTGGTAAAGCAGCAGCGGTTTCTCTTCCAATAAATAAATAAATAAATATCATCCTAAGGTTTGAGCTTGCAGAGCTGATTTTTTTTTTTTTTAATCAGCCTATCCGGCCTTTTTTTTTTTTTTTTTTTAACCCAGATGGGTTGTTTGCAAACACCATCCCCCACCTTGGAGCAACCATTCAAAAGCCTTGCAGAATTGCATTTTTAAGACAAATAATGTTGCTTATCCTTGCTGCGATGCTGGGCTCCCCGTCCTGCCTAGCCTCTTTAGTTTCATTGTGAATTGGGGGAGGGGGGGAAGAGAGGAAACCCCCCTCATGCTTGTCTATAGGGAAACTATCACCCATTCACCGAGGCCATTCTGTTTCCTTTGTTCCTAAAGTGCTGCGTACAGTATACTCTTCCTGACTGCTTAATGCACCCGTTTTCTATGCCATTCATCAGTTTTAACAGATGGCAACATAGAGGAAATGGTCATTTTTGTATCTTTTCAATTGTAGGGATTCTTTTCCCCCCCAAAATGCACAGTTGAGGGTCTTTTGAAAGAATAAGTAAAGAGGTCTTGTAATCCTGGGTTTCCTTGATGGCTGGAAGCAAACAAGAGGCCCATTAATATCCTAAAATAATTAAAAGTAGCTTTGTACAGTCCTGTTGACTGGTGGATTATTTTTATTTAGATTGTGATGTGGTGGGAAAATTAAATTGTACTCTCTGGTTGCTTGTAAAGACTTGCTTTGCAGGGCACTATAAATGCATTGGTCACTTGTGAATCATGGCTCCTGGATGTTAATGAAAATTTAGTTTTCAGTATTTTATACTGTTGTTTATATTACACTGAGGATTTGATCTTGCCTGTTGTCTATTGCAAGGTGCTGGAAAATGGGCTATTTGTATCTTATTATTTAAAATGTGTTCATTGGCGTATTAAGAACCTTGGAGATTAAAATATTCTTAGAATCCTGCAAAAAGAGCAGCTGATAACTCCAAACGAGATGTTTACATGTGAACATGCAAAGAGCTTATATACTTGCACTGGAAATATTTAAGAAGTTATATTTTTAGGGGGGGGTGTCTTCCCATAATGCCTCTTGCAACCAGGAAGAAATCTGCCTTGTAACAAAACATGTAGATTTCCCCAAGAATTGCTACTTTCAACCATGGTCATGATAAATATCTTAAGTTGCTTTGTCATACTAACTTAACCTTGGAGGATCCATTAAACATGCTTCATAATTAAAAGTTAAATGCCAATGAAAGATAGTTGAATTGCAGCACTTGTAAATTTCCAATAATAACTGCCTTCGCATAGTTGCCCACCCTTGTTTATTCTAAATATGATTTTTGTGTCATATGTGGCTCCTCAGATAACAATCTTAATTTCATTGGGCCACCTCTGTGTGACTGTTAAACTCCTCCTCTATGAACTCTGCTTTCCTTCTCAGAACTCAAAGTAGTTAAGAATCAGGCGTTCTGATCTAAATAATACAATTCAACTAAGAAAAAAGCCTTTGAAAAGTCAGCCTGAAGAGACAGTTTTGCATGGCTGTTAAGGAAAATGCTGTTTAAAGCCTGCACCTTTTCCTGTGCTTGAAAATTGATCTGATTTTTCATAGAGATACAGTTGTGAGTATAGTCATTCAGGGTTGAAGTCTATTGCACCAGCCCTACACATTAAATAGTTGATATTTCATTCTGAGTAGACTTCATACAGTATTATCAAAATCTACTTGCACTTCCTTTTCCTCAGATAGGACACTGGGACAGTGATTAATCTGTCCAAGTAAAAGATTTTCATTTTGTCATCCACATTTCAAAGATCTAGAGGGGTGATACAGATGTGGTGAAACAGTTCATAGAATGCCAAAGTTTGCATTCAGTTCTCAGGAAATATTTTGCTAGATGTGATCAGACTGATAAGGATAGATGCTTTAATCGCGTGCATGGCTAACCTTGGAGCATGACCCACTGAATTAGGCAGAGTCTTATTTCTACATACATAGAAATGCAGCAAGTGTTGTCCCATGTCAGAAGATGTCAAAAATAGATTTTGACATATGATAAGAACAAACTCACCACTTTAGTCCTTCACTTATAACAAAAGCCTGCATTTTTTTTTACTGTAACTTCCTCAGTAACAAAGTAAATGCCATTTAACCTTAAATTGGACAACCTGGTGTCTGGGGGCAATCTTAGTAATAATATTAACCTACCTTTGTAACGTTTCTGATCTTCATTCCTAAGGGGAAACAAGTGCAGGGAATTTACCCATAATATTGGTCTTACCTACTTGCGGTACTTCATTGTTTTCAATGAAATGATTGCACTCTTATGAATCTTCAACATGTCACAAGCAGTGATTCATTCATGATTGGTTGATTTATGTAACTTTTTAGTGTTGGGAGTCTTGGAGCACTTTCATTCATAAGTCATAAGGGATACGCTTGCTCTTAAAGAGACACTTGCCTAGAAGTGTCAGAAGTCTGAACTCTTGATTAAAATTAAATGCAGTGGGGCCTAGTCCAACCTAAAGGTAATCTTATGTATCCCTATCATTTTCTCAAGAAGAATTTCTAGACGCTTCTATTTGTTTCCTTTTAATTGAAGTGGTCTGAAAGCTCAATAAATACATGTATCTCCTATTTCTCCTGTACAAGCTCTCACAAGCAAAGAGATTTTAAAGCTTACTATATCCCACAACCTTTCTTATTCTCCTGTGTCTTTCAAATACATATCCTGAGACCTGAGCAACTTCATATCTCCCTCCATCTTTTAAAAGCAAAGAAAGTTCCTGTCCCTTCTAGCTATAGATCCTTTTGAACCCAGTGAGACTGCTCGTATAAAACCTTTGCCCATAGTTAATGCAACCACATTTTATTGAATCAACCCAATCGTTAAAAGTTTGCAAAAAAAATAATGAACCAGAAACTGGTCCCCTACAGCTTGGGTTTACATAACGAACTAGATTAAAATGTGGTGGTCATGAGTTTCTCACATGAAATCAGCCAAGGAACATGTATGATTGAGTGCTGAAGTATATACAGATATTATAATCTTGATAAAATCGTAGTTATAAATCAGTTTGAGTTCACAAACACACTAACACCAAACCATACAAATTACAGCTTACTTGGCATTTGTATAGAACACCATAAAATTTACGGAAGTCGTGGATCAGCCTTGATGTCAGTATGGCTGAAGACCGTCTGCTGGGAGACTAATGGACTTCCTTGTACAGTTGTTTTGGCCACTATGAGCACAGACTCCTGGATGAGATGGGGCAGGAGTCCAAATTGGGAGGGCACTACTTTACATCCTTGTCCCAAAGGTGCTTTTTCAAGAGGCAACTGGACTTCCTGGTTTTTCTTTGAAGATGTTTCGCTTCTCATCCAAGAAGCTTTTTCACCTCTAGAGCTGAAGAAGCTTCTTGGATGAGAAGTGAAATGTCTTCAAAGAAAAACCAGGAAGCCCAGTTGCCTCTTGAAAAAGCACCTTTGGGACAACCATGACCTGGATGACTGAGAATCTCCATAGATGTTTGCTTATGTCCTTATTATCACATTGGGAAAGGGAAGAGAAGTATCTTTCCCCCTTTATCTTGGAAAGCACAGCTAGATCAGCAAGAAGCCTTGGCAGGGCCCTTCAGCTTGGTAATAAAAACCCATTGGGACAATATGGATGCAGAAATCCTTTAGCCTTGTCTGCCTCTGTCGGGAAAGTGGAGCCAATATACTAATTACTGATCTGTAGCGCTAAATGGTTTTGCCCACAGTCTGAAAGGAAAAATAGCCTCCCTGTTTCTTTCCACCAACCATCAGGGAAGAAAAGTGGACCTTTTCATGCAGGAGTCCACTGTGTTATTGGCAGAGCTGTGCTGGCAAGGCCTTGTGTAGCTGTGATGACACAGGTCTTTCCAGTAAAAATAGGGAGCCCTGCTTATTTTGCAAACGCTGTTCTAGAATTCCATTCAAATTATCAGAGGAAAGCACAAGACTTGCAAGCTGGTAAACTTCCTTTTAATGTAGGGCAGCAGCCATTGTATCTCAAATAGAAAATTAAATCGGATGCTGGGCCATCAGGGATTTTTAATTCACCTTCTCCCTCATTTAGAGAGCTTTTTTTAAAAAAATAAAATAATCTGCCCCCTTTTTGTTTTCATTGGGGGAAAATACATCTCTTCCCTCCCCCAGTTAAAACCTTTTACATTTTAACCAGCAAGCTTTGGGAGCTGGAGGGGAGGAGAAGACAGGATTTCATTATGGAAAATGCCTGCCCAGGGCATTAAGGATTCTAGTAAAAATGTCTCTTACAGTTAACTCCTCCTTTCTCAGCCTTGTCACCCTGCAGATGTATTGGGATTGCCGCTTCCAGAATCCCCCGAATCTCTGCTGTCTGGGGAAATGTTGGGGTTTATTGTCTCATCCCACTGGGCAATAGTTCATTTACTAAAGCTAATTTCTTACCCTTGGGTTGACCAGTTCTAACTCTGTATGTCTACAACAGAACATTGAGGGGAGGGTTTTTTGGCCGAAGGGAAATTGGTCTTTCTTTTGGTAACCCTTTCTCTTACTGCGAACTCTCAATTCTAGGTGTTCGATATTGGCTGCTACCAGGAATTACTGGCGCCATGTTTTTGCCTGCCTCCTCATGACAACATCAACCAAATTACCGAAGTCATTCTTGGAGAGACGAAAGCCTACGTGTTCTTTGAACGGAGCTATGGGGACATGCATTCCTTTGTTCGTACCTGCAAGAAGCTGAAGGAGGAAGAGGCAGCCAAGCTATTCTATCAGATAGCCTCTGCTGTAGCACACTGTCACGATGGCGGGCTGGTCCTGAGGGATCTCAAGCTGCGGAAATTCATTTTCAAGGATGAAGAAAGGTGAGGAAAGGCATCTCTTCCCCCGCTGCTCTCTCTCCCTGCTTCCCTCAGGGAAGGCATGATTGTGGTTTGCCATTTCAAAAGGTTTCTGACTACCGTTCCTGGTATCTTCCTCAGTTAAATTTGGACTTTGGTAGTAAAAGAAGATTTTAATGCAGTTTGAGGGAAGCTGGTAGCTCATCTTCACTTCCTTGAGAAGTCTGGGTTGAGGAGAAACCACCACTTAGCTTGTGGTCTACCAGGTGTCTATTTGGTTGCAAGATGGATGCCCTTCCAGGTGTTCAAGGCAGCTTACATGGGCTGAGAGGAAATGGTTATCCCAAAGTTACTCCATAAGTTTCCATGGCTGGGGGTAATCTTCAACTTAGATCTTTCCACTATCAGACCCAGAGCCATGGTGGCGCATAGGTTAGAATGCAGTATTGCAGGCTAATTGTGCCAACAGCCAGCAGTTCGATTCTCATCAGCTCAAGACTGACTCAGCCTTCCATCCTTCTGAGGTCGGTAAAATGACGACCTAGATTGTTGGGGGCAATAGGCTGACTCTGTAAACCGTTTAGAGGGGACTATAAAGCACTGTGAAGTGGTATATAAGTCTAAGTCCTGTTGCTATATCTTGGCCGCTGTACCTGAATTACAACTCCCAACAGGATGAATAGGGTTGTTGGGGTATGTAGTTCAGTAATCTTTGAAAAACCATAAGTGCCCCATCCATGTAAAACCTATCTATATTCCACGTTGACTAATCTACTACTAATAATAATGAAATTTTCTCATGAGATGAACTTTTGGATTGTAGTTTCATAACAAGTTGCTTTCCTACATAGAGCTATTAATATTATTGTTGCACATGAGTTGTTTCAGCTGCGTTTTTGACCTTTCCCCTTTCAATGGTTCACTGGGAAGAGCATTTAATGTGGTTGCACCCTTGAGCCAATCCTCTTGTGACAGCTAAAATCTAGAAGCACAAATTCTTTTCTTTCCACCCCCAAAATCTATTTTATGCACCTAGTCTTAAACTCTAGAGTTATGCTACAATTTTTAGCTGTTATATGTACATTTTCATCATTTCCAAATTGGTGGCAATCTCGGTTGCGATGAAAACAACAGTGCAGGTTATTTTAAAAGAGTAACAGTTGGATCATGTCCGGAGTTTTCAGAGGCTACAGTTTGATTCATCGGGTTTACGAAATACCTATTGGGAACATTGTGAAGGTGCCAAACCACTTTGATTGTTTCTCAGTTTTTTTTAAAAAAATGTTGCCTAATCAGAATTGCCAGCGTGTTACTTTTAAATGCTTTTCTAAAAGAAATAAAATAATAATAATAAAACAGATAGGATATTTTTACAACAACATTTGACTTGTATTTCAGTTTTGGTGTGGTATCCTGCCTCATGATCCTTGCAGATCCCAATCTAGAAAGTTGATCTCCTTCTGTTCCACTCTGCATCAGTTGCAAGACCCTGGCATTGGTAGTCACCAGCAGGGATATATAGAGCTTGCCAATTTGGAAGCAATACATTCCAGTCTCTCTCTGAACCATGCTTTAATTTCATTTGATTTCTTGGCCCATGCTGTTCTGGAGGAATTTGTGCCTTCCAAAAGTAAGTTCTCTAGTCTGCTTCCAGTCCCCTCAGAACTACTCCCAGGATGGCACTTTGGGGGAGGGGGGGCAGAAGGTTCAGCATGGTCCGGAGAGGGAGGGGAATGTCCTATGGTTCTCCGGAATTGGTGCACAATCCTTAAGCATTAGGCTGACCTTCATTGCTTATTGGGGGTGATGCCTTTTGAAAAAGAGCATCTGACATAGTTTAAACCTCTCACTTAAGTGGCATCACAGACAACAATGCTACAAAATGGCTTGTTTTAGTTTAGGATGTTATATGAATATTTTGTATCTTGTAATTTATGACTCATGGATCAAGCTGTTTAGGTCTTATTAAACAAACTTTGGTTACGTAGTATAGGACAGCAGGGTGGATTTGATTTAAATCGAGTTGATTTAAATCACAATTTAAATCATGATTTAAATCACTAGTAAAAAGGCTTGATTTAAATCAACTCAATTTAAATCATAATTTTTAAAGAGCAACTGTCATCTCTGCTACTCCTTTGACCCACTGTTGACTCACCGATAGTCCCAGTGTTGCAGAATATACAGCCTCATGCGACATAACTAAGCTCCATTTCATGCTGAATAAACTAAATTATTTATGTATCTTAAATAGAAAACTATCTTACGATAGATTTTTACCCCAAAAGTTTTTTATTAAAATAAATTCAATAAAAATCAAAAAAATCCGATTTAAATCAAAAAAATCTGTTTTTTTTTTTAAATAATTGATTTTTATCCACCCTGTAGGACAGTGTTGGTGAACCTTTTCGGCACCGAGTGCCAAAACAGGAGCATGTGCCAGAAACCGGAAGATTAGTTGCTTGGCGCACACACTGGGCAGCTGCTCTTCTGGTTTCCAGCACATACATGCGCACCGGCTATCTGGTCTTCTGGATTCTGGCATGCATGCACACGCAAAGACCAGCTGGCCAGTGCACATGCGCTCACCAGAAACCAGAAGAGGAAGATGATCTTCTGGTTTCCGGCACATGCATGTGCGCCAGAAACCAGAAGACCAGGTGGCCAGTGTGCATGCGGTGCAGGAAACCAGAAGAGCAGCCGCCTGGCATGCACATGCACACCAAGTAGCTGCTCTTCCGGTTTCTGGCACTCGGCGCATGAAGACCAGCTGGCTGGCGTGCCAGAACCCGGAAGAGCAATGGGTGACGGCTCGCGTGCCTGGAGAGATGGTTCTGTGTGCCACATCTGGCATGTGTGCCACAGGTTCGCCATCTCAGGTATAGGGTTTAGATTCCCTCCTGCACTGGAGAAACGGACCTCAAATCTCGGGAAAATGCTAGCTAATGCCAGTGTTCTCGCATTCTTGGCAGCATGTTATTGGAAATGGACACTGTTGCTTTAATGAGTCCCCAAGTGGGTGCTTCCTTTGTGTTCCCACACATTTCGAAACATTTCTTCAGAACTGAATTTGAAGCATTGTACAGAATTAGAACATAGGAGGAAAAATGGTTAAAAACACTTTTTTGTTGTTGTGAAACAAAGCCAAGTTGCATAGGTAAAACAAAAATGTATTGATTTGGTGCATAAATCTATTAGGGTTGACCAGTTTACATGGCACTTACATCAGTTCATTTTGATCATAGAAGTTCTTTAAAAATCAGGTAATGTTTCATAAGCCTTATAGAAATTACTATCTGGGCAGGGTTGATTTGTGCAAGCCTATAAACACCCTGTTAATATTAGTTATTCAGCAATACTATAGTGGCAATAGCTCTCCCTTTCAGCTTCACATTGAATGTACGTTCTTAGTAATTACTAAAAGTTGTGGGCGAATGGTTGCTTTTAGGAGTTCCAGACTTCAGCATTGCATTCATTCCTTCTGGAAAGTCATACGTGTTTAGAATCGGTATACAATGGTTGTTTGATTAAGATGTGTAGAATAGGGAGTGCATTTCTTTGCCTGCTGAGAAGGAACATCTAATTCATACTGAGGTCTTCTGCTGTGGTGTATAGTGAACGCAGAGGATGAATTATGAAACACACCAATTTAATCTGCGTTCCATGTGTTCTCTCCATGAGGAACATAGACCCACAATCAGGGACCTTTTGCATCCAGGGAAGCTTCTGTGCTCTTTGAAACAGCGAACTTTCCGATTTCTGTATTGTGTACGTTTGTATAAAATAAGGCGGTAATCCCTTGTATAAATCCCCATTCTTGTTCCATAAATTGCACTTCCATTTCCTAGCATTCTTGTACCCTCCTTGCTTCTTCCTGATGATGGTGTCTTGTTCACATGAGTCTTGCTTATTTCCTGTTTGAGAATAAAGCAGCATATATTTTGAGACGTAGTCTTTGTTCAGAAGTTCCATGTAGCTGTGTATTCCCAAGTATCTACTTCGTTCTGAACTGGTGTCTTGCTTTGATGTATTCTTGGTTGTGATATAATGTTCTGGTGCTCAACCTCATCTTGTTGGAGATTAATAGGCAGTCGTTACTACATGAATTGTTGCTCTATGCTTGGTATTTTACAACCTTGACATATGTGCACAAGAGAGGGGAGTAAGGCCTTGGATCCTGATGAATAAGATCAACTATTATATCTGAATTAGTGTTTAAAGAATGCTGACTTGAACTGTTACCTTTTGTGTGGCACAATGTGATGTATCGTATTATTTATATGTATATTTTATGTTCTTTCCATTAATAGATTTAGGAGATTTGCTGGTGGTTGATATCACTCTCTCTCTCTCTCTTTTTTTTACTGAATTGTTGAGTGTGTTACCATGTATGCTAGTGCCCAAACACAGAAGATTGATCCCTTCTCAGTTTCGTTTACTTGATTATTTTGATCAATGCTACTTATAGTCAAGCTATTTGCATTGCCTGAAATAACTAAGATGATGTTTTGAAATTAAAATAATATGTTCAGCTTTTGTGTTATCACTTTTTTCCTGTTGCAATCATTTTGTCCTGCCAGTAAATTATATTCAGTGAGTACTTCTAAAAAGTCTTCAATTAAATTCAAATGTTGGCTGTCATAATATTTAATGCTTAGCATTCATACTTGTTAATCAGTTTTTCTAGTAACATTTTTAAAAGGATTCTATTATTTTAGAAGCTTTTTGCATTCTAGGTGGCCATTTTTTAACAGTGGGAAGTATCTCTGGATTGGGAAGACAGTAATACTTTCTCATTACGTTAAGTGTTAGGAACAATACAAGAGTTTTAATGCATAGATATACAGTTTATCAAGATGGATGGAGGGATAGATAGATAGATAGATAGATAGATAGATAGATAGATAGATAGATAGATAGGATTTCATATGCAGACAGAATATAGATCCCCAAATCAGATGGATTTCTCATGACTGTCTGGTTAAGACATCAGGCTAGAAACCAGGAGACTGTAAGTTCCAGTC